ATGGTTATCAAGTCATTTCTGCATTTTATGAAACTTTCTGCTTTGAGGCAAGGGATGCTGTAGCGATGTTAGGGATCTCTGAATGGCTCGAGCGCAATTCTTGCACCATAAGCCCCCCTATAGGCACCTCAGCCAATCGTAGCGCCGCGTAGCTGCCAGGATCAAAGGCCAAGGCCTGGCATGGTTGCATTGTCAAGTCTTACATCTTCCTGATACATCCTGATACCTACTGTTATTTCAGAAGCAGCAGTGCATTCGCAGTGAGGCGACTGTGCCGACAAGGCGGAGCTAGAATCCGCCTGACGATACCACTTCTCGGCTTCCTCGTCAGGTTCGAGAATGGCTGGTGCAACTTGCTTCTTCAGTCTCAGGTGATCGAGACTCTTGCAACATCAGTGCACGACATGACTGTGACCAAACATGTGACCAAACATAATCACCTCAACCTTCCCCCGAATTTAGGTGGGGGTGGGAGGGGCCCCTTGAAACCTACTGTACGGGATGAGTGTTCTTGAGGTCTCTGGGCTCCTTCGGGGTCTCTTCTGGCCTCAGGGCCTCTTCTTGAAGGACTCGGCTTCAGATCACAAGGGTTGGCTTGGATTGACAGAGCCAGGGCTGAAGGCGGAAGCTTGGAATTCAAGCCTGAAGCTTGGAATCAAAAGGCCTAAGTTTTTGAGGGCCCCGGGCTTCGCTGGACAACTTGATCGCCAGGCTGGTTCGGTATGGTCGGTTGGAGGAAAAGATAGGAAAAGCAATCTGCTCTCTGATTTTAGACAGCCCGCCCCGTGGTGCAAATTTCCCCCCCCCCCCCCCCCCCCCGCCCACCCAATATTTAAACATGTTTGGCCCAGACCCGTTAAATTAGGAAGCGCAGCAAAGCGGATGTGGCTCATATTTGCCCAGCCTGTGGCCGCAGCTGGCCCAACTGGCTGCATGCCTCGTCCGAATTTCCAAGCCGCCCAGTGTCAGCTCTGGGAAGAATCACAGTCTCCAATGCAAGCAGAATGAGTGGTTGCATGCAAAGTCGAGAGTCTAGACTAGTAAATTGTCTCATTGGACTCTCGCCTCCGCGCGACTTCGGCTGTCAACATTTTGGAGGTGCAGCACGTCCAGCAAGAAATCCTGCAGTATACCGGGATGCTCATCCTCAGGCCTTTCCATTACATGGGCTGCCCCCACCTCCCCCCTCTCTCTTGACCCCCCCACCACTATCCATCAGCTCCTCAGCTCGGCTCGGGGCCAGCACCTGCTAGTATCTGCCATGCTAGTATCTGCCAGTGATGGGCATTCCGCACAGGATTTTCAAGCTGAAGCTGGAGCCAAGCACTACAAAAGGAACCGTGCCTTCAGGGTGGACACAGCCGACCGCCAAGCTTCAGGGTGCTGCGCGGACAGCTGCTGCGCGAAACGGAAGAGGCCCTCCACCTCTCACATGTCTGCAAGCTTGTAGCCTGATTCTATCCGATTCTGCTGGTCACTAGGGTTGACATGCTCAGAGGCCTCTTCGAGCTGGGCGTACACCTCACCAAGTCTGGCGAAGGCCGTAGCATCTTCCGGTTTGGAAGAGACCTGCCAAAGACAAACCTGCTAGGAAAGTGGTCCCTACGTGAGGTAAGCGGATTGCAGGATGCATCCCTGTTTGGAAGTGAGCATGTGGCTCACTCAACTTACCTTAGACTCTCCGGGATCTCACGGAATTGCTACTGATCGATGCGAATTGGGACGCCTTCGCCTTCCACTGCTCCCGCAGCAAAACTAGCTTCTGCCGCTGCGTGAAGGAATCCATGTCAGCCTTCAGGTGGCCATGGGTACATACGACAAGCACTGAATTAACCCCTGCCGCTCGTCATGTCGATAGCTGCGCCGTCGTGGCAGCACGGACGGACCGGGCCTCCCTTGCGTCCGGGGGTGGTCTTGAGACGACAGGCCGGACGGCTCTGAACTGCATGGGGGCCTCCACAAACAACCACACTGCTGCACGGCGCCGGAAGACAAGAAGTCTAAGAATATTCTTAGCCACCATGTCTGAAAGCTCTCATTGCCCGCTCGGGGGCCTTGAAGTCGCATCAACTGCCGATTCGCAGCCATCCAAGCAACCGCTTGCTTGGTCCCGAAAGCTTGCGGAAACGAAAGCAAGCTTCTGCCCCAGAGCGTTCCTACTGTTCTACGCCCGTCACATGCAAACTTCAGCATGTTTTCGTGCAGCGTCGGTCCCTGCCCGGTCCAACATAACACCGCTGAAACGGCCTGGAACCCCAGACATCCTGCTAGACCCTCTAGACACTCGCCCGACTTGCCCACTCTCTGTGTCCTCTCCTTCATGAGAGCGTCGTATCTCCATTGATTTGCCGGAGGCCGCCGGGCCTGCAAAACAGTCCACAGCACCATCTTTGCCTGGACGCTTTTCGGAGTAGAGTCGATTGTGCTTCTATGCGGGTTTGTAGCCAGGGGCGTGAGCATGAGTCCCAGCTGTAATCTTGCAGCATCCCTATAGTTGCATCATGGTGCATCCCACAACTTCCCAGCGCGAACTCTCAGCCACGGTAGAGGCTAGACAGCCGGAGGCTCTGGCCATCAGCAGGTCCTGCAGCGCAACCAGTCCTGGGGCAACAGTATTACAAGTCTAGCAGATCAGGCTGAGAAGAAACTCATGGAAACTCCATCTGGCTACCGCTCAGCACCCTGGCCTTGCTTGCCTTGCTGTCCAAGTATGGGCGACAGGTCAGTCAACTCCTCCAGGCAACGAGGGGCCACCTGCTTACTCATGCTTATTTAGATTTCTATGTTGTTGCAGGGTCGGTTGCCTCGAACTTGAGAAGAGCGGCAGCTATGCACACAACCCGCATCATGTCGATGAACCTTTACCTGCCATTGCTGGTCCCGCATCTGTCCTCGCAGTCCTCGGCAAGGGAGAATTTCAAGCTTTGGGCTCAGAAATGCTGTTGCGTTGGTGGCCCAAACGTGTGGCTTGGGGCTGCCCACGTCAAGCTCCAAGCCAGCGCTGCGCGCTCAGGTAGAGCAGGATTGCTCGAGCAGCAATCTTCAGAAACACATCCCCCAGCCTTTCATGTATGGCTCATGTTGTTAAAGTATTTCAGCTGCCAAGAGGCACCGACAAAGCCCGACCAGCAAACCTGCATGCGGAAAGCGGCACACAACTGCACAGCCAGTTCTCCCGGCATGTCAAGTCAAGACATACCAGTACTCCAGATGTAGCCACTTCCAGATGATGTAGCTGCGTGGTATACTAAAACTTTTACTTTCGAAAAAACCAGAGGTCATCGCGCAAGCCTGGGCCCGAGGGTTCGCATCGCAGTGGCCCTCGTCACTACCTTCCAGACTTGTTGTTGGGCATGCGCGCTGATCGAAAAAGCGTATTTAACCCTAAACCCTAAAACCCTAAACCCTAAACTTCTGCACTTTCTTTCGCCTTCTCCCTCGCTCTCCCAGCTCAGGCAGCTCTGGACTGCGCTGAGGGTGATTCGATGTGTCACAAAGCAGTGCCTTCGATGCAGCTGCCGGCAGCGAGACAAAGAACGTGGTAACCGCGAGCCTTCCAGATTGGCGAGAGCCATGCCTCGGGAGATCTCGGGGGTGAGAACTGCCTTTAAGCTACACATTTGCTTGCGTTGGGCACAAGAAACTACAGCCCGCGGAATGCAGCTGTAGGGGGCGCCTTCTTGCAGCAGGTTGTTCTTTTTTTAAATCGAAATGCCAAGCGAGAAATCCACGGAGCCTGCTGGTGCAGGTCACTTTCGGGTGTGGCTGCTTCCTACGTGGAGAACCCAACTCCTTTTTCTTGTGGCGGCAAGAGGGTGGCAAGTGACGAGTGTGTCAACTCCCCCGCATAGTTCACGGGAAAGCCCCAGTGCGTTGCCACCTGCCACATGATGCCAGGATGCGAAATTTCTATAATAGTTGCGGCTCTGAAATTGTGTGCTTTGGGGTGTAATCTGCCGAGGCCTCGGGCCGATGGTGTACACCTCCACCCCCCCCCCCCCCCCCCCCCCCGACCCCGACCCCCCCACTTCCCCACCAGACTCCCCCACCCACCCACCGCAATGGACTGGCCTTCACCGAGGCGGGTCGCGCAGCGTTAAATTTAATAGATGGATCGAACACGCTGGGACACACAACAATCACCGTCAGGTAGTATTCCCTCAACCGTCATTCATTGTTGTTCGCAAATCCCGTTCGCACGCAGGGCTCGTCATGCTTTCATGCATGGTTCAGTTTCATTGGCACAGCCAGGCAGTGATTGAAACGATCTGCAGTGTCAGAGTTCCATTGCCTGGGAGTAGAAGCAGCAGGCAACAAGCTATGAGCCTGGGCGTTTGTTGCACATCCTGCGATCCAAAGCCGATACATACTTCCATAGCATCCCCCGGTCGTGCTCTGTGGTTCATGCAGCCGAGAGTCCACATGCGCGACTGAGCAGCTGGGTGGCAATGGAACCCCATGTTGCGAACAGGACGCATCACAGGATGCAGCGGATGGTTCGTGCTTGGGCACTCGGGTTGCCTAAGGTCAGGTATGTCTCATGTTGCAGACAGTAATTGTCAAAAAATGAATGCAATGGGCACACTACAAGCAAGCATTCTTGGGCTTGCTCGAGACCCAACTTTCGGGAACCTTCTGGCTAGCATTTGGTGGATTTGTGTCTGGAGCCCTTAGCTAGAAATAGCTCCTCGTCGGAACAATGTAACATAACTTTGAGGCTATACCATGTTGGTGAGCTGTCACAATGGTTGGACATGGTTGGCCACTCTTCAGCCAATTTGCCGATTGAACTACGCTAACTACACCATTGAGAGCAATTCCAGCTCAAGCGTGAGCATCCTGAGCTTTCCTCAGCTTGTGCTTGCAGTCACCACACATGCCATCCCATCTTGCTGCATGAGTTGTGAAGAGATCTAAAGCAGCAATATGCTACGTAGGCTGGCTCTGAGGTGTCTGGAAACCTGTCAGGGCAGATCTCCGACATAACCGGTATGCTGGGCCTGCGGAGCTAGTGTCCGAATGGCAATCAGCTGCTTTATCCGCCTCGATGCACAGAGCTTGCCGAAGTAATGCTTTTCGCGGAGGCACTAGGCTCGCAGGACTCGGTGGTCCTCTGTCGTATGAGAAGTGCCCTTCGACTTCGCTGAGCTCCTGGCGTTAAACTCCTGGCAAATTGGCCCGCAAGGAAAGCATCCTGCAGGAGAGTGAAGCGCGCCGCCACAACCCAAAATTGATCAAAAGGCACCTTTTGCACAGCTTCCAAGCCTCCAACGCACCCGAAGCTACAGGTACAGGGAAGACCGGGTTAGCTGACACAGAATGTTCCTTAAGCCTTAACCCCCCCCCCCCCCCAGGGCTATTCGCCTTGGGCAAGCTGTAGCGAATCATTTCCCACACAATTCTGCGTGGGGTGAGAATACAGTAAATACTTTGACAAGCTCGAGGCCCTTCCAACTTCTCTCTTGTAACTTTTCATTTCACCTGCTCACAGGGTTACAGAGTTACTGCTTCATGAGGATCTCCCCCAAGTCTGAGACGACCCGCCGGGAGCCCTTGTTGTGCACTTCCACCAACGCCTCATCCACGGTCCAGAATGACTGACTATGATATTGACCTCAAAAGGGTTTCGGGATTGGTGAAATCCACCTGCTGACTGAGGCACGGATGTCAGATGCGGGACCACGGTGCTGTTCAAGAACTCGCGTGGAGGGGCAGCCTTGAGGGCCGGATCAGCCGTCTGTGGCGCACTTGCCTCAAGGAGCACATTGAGCCACCGCCGTCAGTTGAACCCCAAAAACAGACATGAAAGATGGTCATCGAAATCAGAATGTAAATGCACGCGTCAGGGAAAAAGGTTGCTGTTGATGCAATGAACCATCTCGCCAGTGCTCTTCTTGCCAGCCAGCGCCTGTCCGAAGGCTTTTGGGACATGCAGTTTTCAGCTGCTGCTGGGTCCATCGCTAATTTCGCTGCTTTCAGGCAGGACTGTGCAGGATCCCAAATTCAGAACTTCATGGAAAAACAAGCCTCAAGAACCTTCAGGATCCAAGTTATGTAGAGAAAGCTGTGTTGCTTCTTTGGTGCATTGGCATTGGTGCCACAGGTGACGCTCACGGGCGAGCCTGGCCCAAGAGCTTCGTGGGCTCCGCAGGGCGCCGCTCAGCAAGTGACAGGAGCTTCTCGCGGAGGTCTCGGCCAAGTGACCTGGGCCCAGCAGATGGCTCTGTGCATTTCGCAGTTTACGGAATGGGGCAGTTGTGGCAACAATTAGCCACCGAATTCGGTGCCTTTCCGTGTCGAGTTGCTGCTCCCAATACTGCCGCATGTCTGTGGCCTGCATCTCGAACTCTGCAGCCATTTTGGCAGAAGCTTCGGCCACCTCTTCTGCCGTGGGATCTGGCATTGCAAAACCAAGCAGAGAAGAAACGAACTGACTGGAAGCTATTGTGCTGTGGAGCTTGCTAGTAGTTGCCAGCTCCTCGAAACAAGACGACTTCGACTTTGGGTGATGTGTGGTATCTTGATGAACTTACAAGAAACGATCTACTGCCGCATCTTGAGCCAAAAACGTGCACGAGTACGGCGGAGAGGTCCCATCGCTGTACGGGGCCTCGGGAGACAATGCCAACATGTGCCCCTACGCACCGATTAGCTGCCGCGCAGCACGGATGCTTCCAACTCGGGCTCTCTCCCTGTGTCCTCAGGGGACTCGATGACCATGGCATCTAGCAGATGAGCTGTTTGCCTCAGCCGACAATGACAAGCCGACATGAACTCAAGCCTGGAAGCCGGTGGCATAATGATAAGTGTTGGCAAGTCTTTCCTGGTAATGGGTCGGGTCGCATGGTGCCTAGCCCCGATGAGCATTTCCCCTGGGCATACACTTATACGCACTTGCCACTCCTACCCCACAGGTACCCGCCGGGCCCCGTCTCAAAACGTCACGGCAAGCTCAGGCCAGGTCATGGAAGACGTCGAATCCGGCGGCAGCCATCCACACAGTGCCTCAAGGCGTCAAAGGCACATGACAACTAATGTGCAAGTTAGTAAGCATTCGTCACATATGAGTACACATTATGCAATTATGCCGTATCAGTTCATATCAGCAACGATTATAGCAAGTGACTATAACGCGCGAGATCTACGAGTAGCTGACAACTCATGCCTGTAGCCCGAATAGAGCCCGAGACGCATATCCCTAGGCCTGTTTGGCCGTACAGACTTTTATGTGTTCAAAGGTTTCAGTAGAGATAAGTCTCCGGCTCTTGACAAGGCTGCCCGGTCCGGATGCTGTCGAAGGGCCTCTTGGCTGAAGGCTAACCACAAAAACTACGTGGAATCCAAGGGGCCAAACCTGGACTAGCAACCCAAGCTCTACTTCGCAGGTGATTGCAGGGGTAACATGATGCAACATGTCTATATCGCCAGTGCGTCAGGCGCGAAGCAGCACCACAAAGCACCAACAGCCGTGCTTTCGATACCGGGCTCCGAGGGTTACGAATCAACACAGCCCGATGCCTTCTGCAGCTTCTGGGGCTGCAGAGGGCAGCACCGTGGCAGCTGCAGCTGTTCCAGCCTGTTACTCGAAACAGGCCAAACGGCTCCCTGCCAGTGCAGTCTGGGTTAATTATTGACAAACTATCCGCATGAAAGCTGTCAAACAAAGTCGTGAGCTCTTAAATCTGCCTCTCAAGGTCTGCTTCACGCGAAATTACGCAGAAAAACATTGGCTTCCTGTTACCCTGTGAAAGGGATGCTCGTGACACGTGTGTGTCATGAGCATGAGGACATATCAGGACTGCGAGCATGACGGGGAGACTGCAGAAAGGCTCCGTATGGCTCAGTCTCCGCCTCGGAGCCTCCCACAGCAGCGTGGCCACCTCTTTTGTTCAGAAACGAGTATGCCACGTATGTGCTAAGGCCTAGGGCATGCCCCAGTATGATTGTGGCGTGCCCAATCTGCACCATGGGTGGCACATACTCCGACAGAGTGGATGTGAGTAGAGCCTACATTGCTAGGCACTCCTGGGACTCCCGACCATCGGCTCAAGAAGATCGTGACGGTCCACGACACAGGTGCCCAGGCACGGCTGCAAGCTCCTGGGCTCCGAATTGTGAGGTGATGCTGTAGTTCAGTACAGAAAGCTGCTGTTGCGTGTGGAGTGGGCAATCACGAAAAATGTTACTGGTGATTACCGATATCAGGCCCGGGCAGGAGGTTCACTGTGCAAAGCTTGGGCAACAGAGCAGTGGAAATCGACCTTGCCGAAACAGTCTGTTGCAAACTTTGCCATCAGCCTGCTGCCATCCGACAAGCACCGCGCAGAACCGATGCTTCAAAACAAAAGAACCTGGCCGGAACTGGCGAGCAAATGCCAGCTGCTGGTTGAGACCGACCTCGCATGAGATGCAGGGATCCAAAGCTGAGGGGCTGCAGTGCCAGGCGTCCGCCGCATGCGACCTTTTGCTTTAAACGTCTTGGACCTATTCTTTCAAAGTGGGGGAAAGGGAGACCTAGCCGCGAAATCTATGAATCTCTTGGTCCCTTGGTGTTTCCTGTGGGGCCTGGATTCTCTCGCCTCGGTGGTGTGACCCCTCTCGGTGTTTCCGCGTGCCCGCATCGCTCTCATCTAGGCACCCTGAGCATTTCTGGGCCCGGAAATTCGGAAAGGTCTGCATGAAGTGATGTGCGAAAAAAAACCACAAACAGCATTTTTCTTGCGGGTGTTGATCGGTCTGTCTGCAGCCAGGGCACCATGAAACGCCAGAGTGGATGTTCTGCTAGCGGCTTCATGTCGCCGTCAGATGCAAGCACGTCGCTCTCCCACCTTCCAACCCAAATTCCCATGCAAACGATGCAAAGGCTCTGCGCCAAAGACAGGCGCGTCAAAGCAGCTCGCTTCCAAGCGCTCGACGGGGCTGTTTGAGCGAGCTGCCGTGCCGGGTGTGCCTTCTGGCTTGGCTTTGCAGTTTGCCAAACAGAAACAGACATGCATAGGACTATAGACAGTATGATTTGCGTCATGCCGATCGTCATGCTGGTTCTTCGACGTGTGGCCATGAAGCCACTTCCCAGGTCCCTGACAGCGCTGGAAGAGCCTTCACGGGTGTCTTCGATATCGATGCCTCGAGGTCGCAATTGGTTGGCTGTTTGTGCATAGTTGCGGATCCTTGCAGGCCTAAGAGTGGATTAAGGTCATAAGCTACGTAGGTAGTAGCAGGTGTTGAGGTCGAGACTGTAGAGCGAGGCTAGGTGAAGTCGCCGGGGAAGGCTCTCTGCAGCTGCCGGACCTGCAGCGGCGGTGGGCATGTCATAAAGAATCACGTGTCAAAAGTGACAAGGCTATATGTGTTGAAATGGATGGTGCGGGATACAGTGGATATCAGAAACCGTGACATGTCTGCACGGAATGCATTGGATGTCACGCAACACAGCTTGGCTGATGGCTCAGGCGTGCAGGAAAATGTGCTACCTGAATCAGGCTGTAGGGAGTTTGCGGATGCTAGAGGGTTTCCTGCTATCAAGCTAGTCGAGGAAGGCCAGTGCCAAAACACCAGGCTTGCAAACAGCAAACTTGAACTCTGGCAGAAAAAACACGCGTTTTTGATGAACTCCTGGTAGCCTGGAGGCCATCTGAACCCTTATGCGCCCTTTGCAACAACCAACAATCCACTGATTGTGGCTCCCTGCGCGAGAGAGCTGCAGTCGATCCCCATGGTGTGCCTTTGGGATCTGGCTGGCAAAGGTAAAAACTCACAAGGCTCGAGACTCAAGCTATGACTCATGACGCATTGTCACGCTTCTCTGAAGCGTCATGGCTTAGCTTTCGTCCAGCTTTGCATGGAATCCGATGATTCAGCATCGCGATCCAGAAGCTCTGTAATTAAGGGTGGCGCGCTGGCGTGGCACGTGGAACAGGCAGCCGCGTACCTCCACAGGCAACCGGACAAAGTACAAAACCGGCTTGAACACTCCCATGTCAGCATGCGCTTCGGTAGCAATGCCGGATCGCATGCGTGACGAAGGCAAGAAAATCCGGTTCTTTTTGCCTGAGCAAGTCTTTGGCCGGAAGGAAGGGCAGGAGGAGCTTCTCACCTTCGCTCAATGCGTCGGGTCTAACCATACTCTGTGAAGACATATGCCGCATGCCAAACAATTCAATACAGTTTTAATTTTCGTGACAAGAATGGCCAAGGCGACGTAGAACCACCTCCCCCCGTTCCCCCCCCCCTTGCAAGAAACTCCGCGTTCAGTTCGGACGAGCTGGGCATGGCGGCAAGGCAGGGACGTCAGCAACGACAGGCGCACTTCCTCGGGAGATTTCTGGCAGCCATCGAACATGGGCAAAGAATGTGGCCTCGTCCTTTCGAAATAGAGCTCTGACACACTGAGAGCATCACCTTTGGTGATGTCTTGCGGCTCAGTCGACGACGCTGAGCCATGACGTCCACTTGTCATGATCTTCGCTGCTAGGGGTTCTCTACTGTTGCCGTTGCTTGGATGTTCAGGCCAAGTTCGTCTGGACATTTTGATTGAAGGTTGCCGTGAGCAATTGCGCCATCCCTCTTCTCCAGCTTCATGAGTGAAGGCCAAGGGCTACCGCAGAAAGATCCATTGCAGGTATCATGTTCACACAACACCCCCCTCATCGGAATGAGCCAGGAGGGCAGCGGCCGAGTCGAGAGTCGAGTCCCAATGCTACAAGGAGTCGCAAGCATCCAGCCGAGACTGCTGGTGAGAACAGCGAATAACACTTGATTCATTTTTTTGCTGCACCCTATTTTGCACATAATCCCTTGTTCTGCTTGGCTCAACCGCCCAGCTCTTTCCTCCTTGGCCGCAGCTCACAATGCCAACACAATGCGGCAATACGGGCGGCCACATGCTGCCACCGGAGGTACACTGCATTTCTTCCTTGTTGCTTTCTGACCACCGGTGCGATGACAATTAAGCCCATGCTGCCCATGAGGTACTGAGGCTGGAACAGCTCAGCTCGCCTGGCTGTCGAAGTCACATGTTTCTTTGCTGTGTTGTTTTTGCCGGCAGCACAGGGAGCTACGTAACGTGTGTCGCTGTATTCCCTTTCCCATCATGAAGCTCCTGCCTGCTGCGGGGAATGTCTGGATGCCAGAAATTGACCTCGAATCGGATGATTTGCAACTTTTTTCGAAACGGAACAGACAGGGAGTGCTTCGGTGAGTGTAGCTCCAATGGCCCCAGCTAGCAGAACGGTTCGCGGCTGGCTTCCTTCATGGATTACCTTCGCAAAAGATCAAACAAACAGCGGTTGCAACGTGCCACAGTATCAGCGTTCTCCGCCTCGTGTTCGAAGGAGTCATCGAACACGATGCATTTCCCTGTCTCCCATTCACCTCATCGACTTTCCGTGCCAAGGTTCAACGTCTTGGCCCGGATGAGGCGCCGAAGGCAGTTAACTAGCACGACGGCAAAAGTTCTGGCTTGAAATTCCCTGAGAAAGATCTTCCCGGTTGCCAACAATCACAGCATTCGCAGCACTGAGAGAAGCGCGAGACTCCCCCGCGCAAGTTATCCTTGGCTGGCCTAGCCCTGTGTCAGCACGCATAACTTCTAAAAAAATGTGCCGAGATGACCGAGATGACTGGCTGCATCCAAAGCACCTGCAACCCTCTGGAATATCGAGCCCCAAGTGGCAGGTCAATCGCATGTTCGTAGGCCTCCGACCAGGAGTCTGACCGCCGGGCACACAGTCAACACGCGGATCCAAACATACAGACAAAATGTCTGACGAATCCTTAAATTGGGTTCTTGCCTAAGTCAACAACACAGGGAACCACGGCGACCTCTCTCTCAACTCAAACAATACCCGACGAGCACCCGGCCCGCAATGAGGCCGCAAATGCGTACCAGGTTGGAGCCTGGAGAACAAAGACCTGCATGGGCTCTGGTCTTTCATCTGAGCTGCTGAGCATCCACTCTTTTCAAAGCAGCTTTCTGCAGCTCGCAGGTCGTTGTTGGGTACATTTTGGCTGTGGGGGCACTAGAAGCTCAAATCAGGCAACTTCCCAACAATAACTTGCAAGCGGTCGCCGGGCACTGGTCCCGGTCAAGTTGGCAAGCAAGCTGGTCAAAGCCTAGCTGCTTGGAAATCTGAACGCCAAAACGGCCAAAAACACTTGAAAACTTACTGGGCATGTCTGGGCGTGTGCGCCTTTTGCGCTCACTACAAAGCCAAGAACAAAATTCTTGGCCACCTCCACATCTTTGGAAGGCGATCCCAGCATTGCAGAAAACGGTGTGTGTCTGTGTGTGTGTGTGTGTGTGCGTGTCTGCCTATCCACAGGAGGAAGCCATCCCTGGCTGCTCGCTCATTACTCGGGAACTTCCTTCTGGCCAGCAAGTGGTACCACTTGCATTCACCTGCCACGGCTCCAGATCAAGAGAATCCTCAAGTGGTGAAATGGGAGAATGCCACATCAAGGATGCGACAGGATGACGGGAACACACACTTTTTGTGCACGCAGCCCTTCTTGCTGGCAAACCTGTTCTTGCTGTGGTCTGGCGCAACCCGTCAGAGACTGGGCTTCACCGAGCTGCTTCGTATGCCGGAACAAGCATGCAACTTCTATAATAGTTGTGGTTGGAACAGACCGTCCAGGCCAAAGCAGCACTAGGACTATCTACATTGAAAGTCAGCCTGCAGCTCAATTGCCCTTGCCGCCACCCTTCTGCGGTGGTTTGTAGACACGCCCCTCAGGGCTGGCACGCAGCACCTGCGCAAAGTTCATGCTGTGCGAGCTGTTGCTGGCGCTGGTGGGCAGAGCACTCGGCCTTGTTGCGCACTCGCACGACTCGGCCATGGATTGCACAGGAGACGCAGTACAACATCTTCATGTAGAGCTTCGGCCTTTCTGAAAGCAACAGTGTATACGGCGCATACAAGCTCTGAGGATCTCAGGCTTCGGCAGCATGAAGCTTGAATACCTCAGTGCGTGGAACGTGGAGATGCACCGAGGAGCCCCACGCCTTGAGGGCCACTTTACGTTTACTTTTCTACATTGCTGTCGAGGAACACGCTCGCCTCTCGCAAGTCACGCTGCGACGATGCGTCCACCATGTTTCTTACCTCAATCAGCTTTACCATGTTTCACCAAATGCTGCCGGCTTGGCATCAGGCAAACAATGGCAAACAGAGGTATGCATGCGTAGCCCTGCGCTGACCTGGAAGCGCTTGATGGCCTCACAAGCAAAGGTGTCGGCGGTGGAGCTGCAAGCTTGCTTGAACATCCTGCCGCGTGAGCCTTGTCCTTGGGCACGCAGCGCGCGCAGTTGGAGCAGCGGACAATGGCAGTGTGTCCTCAGCAACGATTCTTGAGGCGAGAGGTTCCGGAGGATGCGCTGCTGCAGGGAGACGTTAGGATGTTTTATTTGCAACATTCGGGTTCCACATTGTTTTCTGACAACGGCCCGGCTATCCAAAGTAGAACAGCAGAGTTTCCACGCCCGTGCTTGGAGCGGCCATTGTTGCGACGCTTGGATGGCATCTTGTGTGATCCCTTTCAGCTGTTCCGGGCGCTGACAAGAAGGACTACTGTTTTCCTGAGCCAAGATGGCGTTCGGGAAGATGCAGTCGTGTAACTTTTTGCGGGCCTTCATCACACTGTAGCGGAGTCATGACTGGTAGTCACTGGTAGTCTCGACTCCCCAAAGACCCCTTGCAGTTGCCGCCTGCAGGGCCTGCAGGGATCATGTGGCGATGCTCCTGTGCAAGTTGACTGCCACCCAGCGTGTTGGACGGGGCGCATCTTGTGCCGCAGGCTCGGCGGCGATCTGTTGCGGGACCGAATTGGAAGTACATGCTGGAAGGTCAGGTCGATCATGGTCGATCTACGTCGACCTCTCATGACTTTCTGCCACAGCATCTAAAGTTGTATGAGTTCAAAACGTGGAAGAGCACAGTTGGCAAGGGCACGGACTAGAACTGAGATCTGCTTGTAGGCCCCGTTAGGCAAAGAGCGAACTCCATGCAACCATGCCCCACATGTCGGATCCAGGCCTCATCTGAGCATTTGGCACGCAGCCGAGCTGCCTCACGCCAGGCCTGCCGCTTTGGCTTGGCCTCTGCCAAAAGCAAAGAGAAAAACACCGAGAAAAACACCCAACAGCATGCGCTGGCACGCCGCGCTCTCCCCATCCTCGTCTCCAAGCATGCTGACCCTTCCACTCAATATGAAAACGCCGGCTCAGGACTCAAGATTAAGATTCCGGGACGCGGTGTGCATTGCTTTGAGGGTTCAGACCCGTTTTGTTGAGTTTAGGGATCTTTGGTTCGGAGAGCGAGTCACGGCCATCACTCCTTACGGGCACGGGCCTCACTGCCGACAATCCTCGGTGTCACTCGGCGCCGGCTCAGGAGGACCTAAGCTTCATGGTGTGACGGCCCACTGCAGAATGGCCTATCAGGAACCAAGTTTTGCTGCTGAGCCTGTTGAGCTGAAATTGTGGCAGCAACGCCTTCTCTGAACTTGTGGTGTTCCAAGCCGTTTCAGACCCGGCACTGGCTGGACCGCCAAGGGAGACGGATAGCCACAGGGGCCTGTTGCCGTTGAATGCACATGCTCCAAAACCCCACTTGATGCGCCAGAGTCCCAGAAACCAGGCCTGCTGGCTGGCCATGGATACCGCCAACCGGGACGGATCTCAATTCTGGAACCCATCGCCTGCATGGACCAAGTCTTCCCCTTCGAGCAAGCATGTACTCCTACGGGCTCTCTGGCCTCACATAGCTTTCGTCACGGTCGTACTGACGAGCCTGGAGTGGCCCAAGAATAGCCAGAGAACCGCGGAAATGCGCAGCTAGCACATCAGCAGCTGGCCTGTTCAAACGGATCGAAAATGGCGTCCCCCAGCTCCACCTCAAGCACACAAATTCCGAAACAGCAAAGACCATGCTCCACCGGAAGCTTGCTGCAGCCAGATGCAGCCAGCAGGCACCCTTGGCCCAAGGGTCACCGCCGCCGCCTCGCCTCAGCTTCAAGATCAGCAGTGCGACTTTGCACACCTTCAGAGAGGACACTGAGAAGTTCTTAAGGGCTTATTACCATTATTTTTATTATTCTTAAACCCTAAACCCAAAACCCTCAAAACCCTAAAAACCCTAAACCCTAAGCCCTAAACCCGGGAACTCCATTATTAATTGAGAACTTCTACTTTGAGAACTCTTTAAAGAGTTCAGCCGCGTGTCGCACCGGGCCTGCGGCCTCCAGTAGGACCACGCCCTTTCAAGCCCAAGGGATACTTCTCCTTAGAGAAGCGAACATAAGGAGCTGAGTTAAGGGGTGCCCACTGAAGCTTAAAAACAAAATAATGTAAAAACAATTAAGTGATTTTGTGGGGAGAAGAGGCCCAACCGGATGCAAATTGAATGGCAAGACTCTCCAAGGTCAACAGCGACGTTTGCCATGGAGGCCCACTCACCTAGAACTCCAGGACTCTCATTTCAGACAGCCAGCGCAGCCCTACAACCAACCGTCGGTGCTTGATCGGTTGGTCGTGAGCTGCCTTGTGCACCGCTGCTGTCTGACTCAAAAAGTAGACTAGGCCCACTTGGAAACAGCTCAACATGACATGGGAACACCGTGAATGCCACAAGATGACGATGGATGGTTTGGTGGTGATGGCGGTACATCGTTTGCAGCTCTGGGGAAGAGCTCTAGGCTTCAAGCCATAGTTGGAGCAAACATCGTGGTCCAAGAGAAGACTTTCAAACCTCAGCTGTTGCTCTCTGCGTGCTCGGCGGCATATTCGCGAATCGCTTAGCAAGGATTTGCTGTTTGAGCAAGAGGCCAGTCAGCTCCCACACGCCAGTCGATGTTGAGATAGTGTATCAGGTAGGAAGCAACGATGTAGCCTGGGCCAGAACTCGGTGATCTCATACACAGCATCTGTATCTCACTTCAGCCATGTGGCGTCCGCGATTTGCCATAAATCCGGTCGCAGCCAACTCCCTCATCAGAGCGTCCACTAGGGGCACGCCTGTCCTCCAAGTCATTTGCACTCTTCCTTTCCTGCCTTGCGTCCCCATCCCCACCCCCTGCACGTGCAGCGATCAACTCTGAGCATGAGGTCTAATCTCAGGATATGTCAAGAATGTCATCCAGCACTGGCAGTGCCGGCGCCTTCCCTGCTTCCAGCGATGCTCGGCAACCGCATCCCTCCTGTGTGGACGTCGTGGCATAGCCACATAGCAACATGGTGGCAACAAAGGAACACCCACGAAATGGCAGCCGCAACCAACAGCACCCTCCAGCTCAGCAATCGCCACATCCAGTTGCCATGCCTCCAGGAACGTGCTCGCCGAGCTGGACCGGAGACAAAGAAAACCCGGCGGCCAAAGTGAGCACCTCTGTCTTCCAGCAATGATGCAAAGATTGATAGACCAAAGCATCCGGCCCATCGGTTCGTGTTTGTGTGCTTGCCTGCCTGGGTGTGAACCCCCCGGGAAATCCTGTGCCTCACAGCTATCCAGAGGCCTCCAAGAGGCCCATGGAGCAAACAGTTAGCTGCAAATCACCAAATATTTCAAGTACTGGTAACATTCTTGGCTCCTACTTTCAAGGCCTGCCATATGACATACGTCCGACGTAGCCCAAGGTGTTTAGGAGCAAGGGGGCTGGGAGCCCTAAGAGCACTGAAGCTCAAGAAATCAAAACACCATCCTCACCTTGCCAAACTCAGCCCTAAAGCCCTAAAGTTGCCGTAGCCAAGTCTCAGTAGAAGTGGAAGTAGTCGCGCCAGCAGAGCTGGAAAATGAACTTCTGAACGTGGTCGAAACGCCCATCCTGACACGAATCGACTAGCAACTCTTGTTGCTGCATCTCTTTCCCTCTCTGCATCTTCCTCGGCAAAACAGCTTGTCATTGTCCCCCAAAACCCTGCTGCGCATGCTGCTCAACTCAGCCCAGGCACGTTGTCTTGGCCATGCTCACGCTCAAACCTTACCAGGGACTCGGCAAGGAGCTGAAGCATTAATGCATTGAATTTGATGCGCGATCATGCTATTGCCAGGTGGTCGTGCAAGAAAGGCAGTCGGTTGGCGCGCGGTGTTGCAGGCGAGTCTCTGTTTGGCTCGCCAGTACACCGAGCGAGGCGAAAGGCAACCAACGGCCATCCAAGGGGAGAGGCGGCTGCTGCAGTGGCAGTCCAGCTGATTCCGGGTCTGCTGATACCTTCCCAGTCCTGCGATATACTTCTTACATGGGGCAAGCAAGGTTGGACCTGGGCGTCTGCCACAGGCCTGAAAGATAAACACACGTGTCATTGCTTATCGTTGACTCCGCTGCATGGGTCCTGTCTTGGTGCAGTATGCCTCCAGTTGCTTCCTTGGCCACGGAGAGGGAAGAAAGATGATGATGGTGGGGGCCGGTCCAATTTTCGATCGAGAAGACAAAGTGCAAACCCAGGTGAATGCGGTAAACATACTGCTCATAAAATGGCAGATGATGCTTAGGCGAATAATGTAGGCCAATGTAGGCTACGTAGGAAGATGCAGACTGCAATGAAGACATCACGTGGGAGACAAGCAAAACGATGCCATAACTACGCCGTCGAGGCTCCAGGCTTCGGCCTCTCCACCGTGCCATTGGAAGTCACCGGCTAAGGGCTCTTCCAGGACATCCTGAGCACGTTGATCATTGAGCACGTGCTCCCGCTGTTTTCTGTGCAGGGGTTTCTTCCTGGAAGCTGCCTTTGCGTTCGCTCGGGCTCATGCGCACACGCCGCAGCGCTCAGCTTTCTGCATTGAAGCTACAACATCCGAGGGCAACGACCAATCATGCGTCGAGCGGCCAGCCCCATGGCTTGGAGCAAGCGGTCACCTACGGGCTCCACCATGTCCTCACTTTGCATCCGAGCTCTTCAGCCCTGGCATGTCTCTCCTGTCCGTTTCTGCATGAGCTCTGCAGGCATGTGGCATGCCCATCGAGGACCATGTCCCTGGAAGGAGGCAGCTGTCCTCTTCCTGGCACATTGCAAACTACACTACATACTGTGCATTACTGTGCCACGTACCACAGTTGAAAGGTTGCCTGAACTGACTGCAAGATGTGCCCATGATCTGCCTGAGTACACCAACGTGGCACCGGCCTGGTGCAGAAAGCTCCATGCGAGGAGCTACAGCCGCACATGTCTCGTGGTAAAACCTTAGCTGCTTAGCTCCTCAGCAGGATTCTTTGGCCCAGTCATGTACCCAGAGACAGGGCGCAAACGGCTTAACTGCTTAACTTAAGCCTGCTTGTGACCCCCAGCAAGTTGCGCCGAGAAACTTGCCAAATGGGAGTGGCAGCCAATCGGAGACAGCCTCTCAACCATGGCAAAAGAGGCCAGCAGAATTTGGGGATCATCGGTGCCCAGGTTGAAGCAGCGAAGCAATCTTTGCAGCAAGGATGCGAAATCCAAATCCTCCCGACTCCGGAGGGTCTGGCCTGGGCCCATGTCTTTGAAGGATTTCTTTAGATTTTGGTACGTGCTGCGGCTGCGGCTACTTTGTGGATTGAATTCAAGGTTGAACTCTGCACAAGGCCAGGCAGAAAAAGAGGAGACTTCGAGTGAATTGGTAGACCATCCAAGACTGATGTGTTCAAGAGCTAACAGCTGCTTGGAGCCCACGCCGAAATAGCTACGCACCTCGGCTCAACACAGATGATGGCGTGTCTGATGCTTGTTATGCTAGTTGTGAAGCAGGAACTGTACCACAGTTCTGTCGCGGTGGCTCAAGCATTCTCCAGCAGTGCACTTTCGACAGATGCTGCGGCTACTGTGTTTGCATGCTGCTGCATCGTATAGCTCAGGCTTGGATTTGCAATCAACTAGCACATGCTTGTTGGAAGCGGCAATAACTTGATTCACAGTGCCTCGACACTGGCTTGAAGTCTGCTCCGAACGGCCTCATGCACAGCAAGCTGGGTTGTGCAATTCCTGAAATAATGTGGGACCTGCTTCAGTGTGCCCTGCCCCCCAACAGTCCAAACTGGCCTTTAAACGGTCCACGGGATTTTATACAAGCGATTTGATAAGAAAGGAAGTTTGAAATCCGACCACTGGGCTTGAGATGGTTTAGGTTTTGAACCCAAGAGGCCGCTTCGAAATCAAGAGGCAGGGGCCCGGGCCAGGACATGAAATAACACAGGAGTGTTCCGAGTTGGGGGCATCCTTAAAGAGGGTTCTGAAACAGGGTCCACTTTAGGAGGTCAGGCTGGCTTCTGGACTAGGCCTTTGCCGGATCGAACTTACATTTTGTTTTGCAAAAGGGAACCGGGAATTCTTCGTTTCGGGTCAGTTGGGATGGATGGCGGGTTTTGGGGACCTTGGAAAGAAGGCCTGCCTTTACATTCAAAGGCCTTTAAGCCAAGAGGCCAGGGCATCGGTCTTCGAGCTGTCTTAAGCACTTCTTTTTGCATCCCACAGTCAAGACACCTAAACCCTCAAACACTACACGGTGGCAAACTTGCCTTATGTGCCCTTACTAATGCAGGTGGTTTGCGCAAGTCCAAGTCTGACTGTATCACCATGACTTATTTTTATGGCGCCAGAAGACGGTTACTCGCAGCCGCGGCTAGGCCTTCATAGTGCCCACAAGCTCTGCGTGCCTCTTCCACTCGCTGCTCGTCGTGTGTATCCTCTGCCTGGCATCCAACTACGGAGTGGGGCACGCGAGGCATCGTTGGAAGCTCTACATGGGTGAAATGGCACCACTCTGCACTGGCTTTCTAAATCTGTTCTGGCCTGGTATACGAGTAACGACCCCGCTGGCAAAAGCTTCGGGAGCACCTGACTGGATTCGGCACGCTACATCGATGCTGCAATAACAGGGTCCTGTTTGTGTGTGTGTGTGGGGGCAACCCATAAACATCGGGTGTATTCAGAACAAACTCTAGATAAGCTTTTGCTCCGGCCTTCCCTGCTTAGTTCCTCCCATGAGGGATCATAGGGGGGTGAGATGGGGGTGGGGGGTGTGGAGTGGAGACTTGGATGAAGCAAGTCTTCGGGCCGTAGGCGGGCGCACCATGTCGATCACCCCCCCCCCCCCCCCCCCCCCCCACACACACACACACACAAACAAAAACAAAGCAAACGAAACCGAACAGGCAACAGACCAACCATCAAACCATCAAACGAACAAATACACACACACACACAGAGCGCACTGACTGCAAGCCAGTGCCTCCTCCGGATGTCCAACAAAAACCATGAGCTGTGAGGCGATGCCACGCAATGACAGGGCCAGGGCCTCAGAACTAGCATCAGGTGATGAGCGCAGACAGGGAGTGAAGCTTCCAACATGGTGTCAAGGTTGAGTGATTCGGTCTGATATCTTCGGCAAGCCTTAACCGCTTTTGCCATTGTTTGGTTCCAGCCTCAAGGGACTCGGCGATGAAACGGCTCCTCCCCCAGGTAAGTTTTGTAAAGTCATGCGGTCGGTGAAAGGTAGGATGTCGATCAGCTGAGTTTGCATGCTATGAACCCTCGCAACCGACTCGGTGCAGGGTCTGTGTCTTCCAGCTGCTAGGCTGCACCTTGGGTTTAGGGTTCGCGACCGGTCGAAATGAGCAATACACTGAACCTGTGGCATCAGCAGAGCCGGTAGTGATAGCACCAGTCTGCGAAACATGTACGATGCCCTGGTAGTCCTAATCCCATGACTCATCTGAACTTCTCATGTGTGTGATGCTTCTGCACAACTGCGGACAGAGCTGCAGACTTCGAAACGCTCACTTCTGAAAATGCTTGAAGACAATGCGGACAAGTCCTGAAAGGTCCGCATCTGAGGTGGTCGCCCCAATGGCTTTGTTCCCACTGGCGTGGATCAATACAATACCTCAGTGCGGAACCCTGCCATTCAGTCTGCTTTGTGTGTCAAACCTTCTTGCAAACGAACGGCACAATCAAGAGCTCAGAAGCTGCGCGGAGTCCTCCCACATGGAAGATTTCCTTCAGCTGGAACAGAACCACAAGCTCACTGCAGTCGAGAACGCTTCATTTGCAGAGCCCGGCCCTGGAAATTATTCTGGATATGAGGCACATTGTCGTGTAGGCGTAGATCATTCCGCAGCCATGCAACGGCGCGGCGCGTCATGTGAAGCAACGCTGGAAGCTGAAGCAGGGTAGTTCGAGTTCAAGGTCACGGGTGAGGCCCGCATTATATTTGGGGCTGCATCGGGTTCATGCAGGGGTTGAAGCCGTTTGACGACCATGAATACAAACAAAGACACGCGAGCTCGCATACACAAACAAACCAACCAGCACAGCTGCAAATGCTTTTGTTTCAAGCACATTGCACACTCACATGGATATGGATATGGATATATGTATATATATATATATACACTTTAAGACATAAACACGTTGACACTTTCACTCTCCCATGCTTTTCCGATCTTTGCAAGCCCCTCGCGGCGGCGGATACCTTCCTCGCACATGACGAAGCACATGCCCACATCCAATGCCACACAGTGGTTGGCAGGTCATACTTCAATAAGTACAATCTCGTCTTAGAAGCCATCTGGGAGCCCAACTCGCCAAGCCTCATCTCAGCGCACTCACGCACCTGCATGCTGATCGTCATCAACAGTCTTGAGCTATACCACTACAAGTATATTCTCTGTCTGTTGTCAGCAATGGCTTCTATACTCCGCACCCTCCAAGAGCACGTTGAAGCTCTTTATAGGCCTTCGGTCATGTATAAGTCGTGCATACATATACAGGACCTGCGCGCACGTGCTATAAATGCGTAAATTCTGCGCAAGTAGCAGTCGCAACCAGGCAAACCAGGCAAGCACTTTTCTTGACACTCCGCGCTGGCTTGCTGCTTGCGCTCATCATTTGCAGGGAATGATCCGCAGCTGGGATGCCATGGCTGTTTGTTGCAGCCAAGGTTGCACCCATGGCAGCAATGTGTGTTTAGAGGCAGAAGCCAGTGCCACAGAGCAGGCGATCGCGGCCGCACGCTTGCAAGGGCGACCCTGCATGACATGAGTTTTTGTTACAGGCACCCTTGGCAAGGAACGGCAACGGAAGTTCTGCTGCGCTCAGAGACGACGAGGACTGGCGACTGCCCGGGCAACAGCTCGAGGTGTTGTCACAGATCCAAGGTCAAGTCCACCACTTATGATTTTCAATGATTACATATATTGCGCAACGTTTCGAGTGAATGACGAGGTGGCGTGGGCACATGGATCCTTGACAGCCCTCTTATTAAAGCTGATTGGACAAAGAAGCTGGCGGCTAGAAACAGCAACAAGCACATCACTAAACAAAGGGTTTTCAATTGAAAGTTAGCGTGCGCTTGTCTTTGGGCTACTTGTGCAAAGTGCAGTATTTTGAGAGCGCTCAGGCTGCCTGTGAGCTCCGCAGGGGCTGGCTAAGCAGCCGTGAAACGACCCACCTCCTCGCTCATATGGCTGCCGATGACAAAGCAAAAGTTACCGCCCGGTTTGGGGACAGTAGCCAAGCCGGCTGCCAAATGGAGAAGGGTCACATCATGTATCATGTATCGTATATGGTACATGACTGTCCAAGCCGGGGCAACTCTTTACAGGGGCCTGGCTTTGGACACACCTACACCTACCAAAACCTCTCACGCTTGCAGAGTTGCTCCGAGGGTCAGGCGACGACTCATCTACGATGATAGTAACACAGGAATTAAGAATAATACGCTGCATCTGTCTTGTTGTCACGTCACCCTCGTACTTTGCCTGAGTTTGTCCGCGCGTAAAGTCCTCTGCTCTCTTTGCAAGAAATTTCTAGGCCCGGGCTGGTGATCTTGGGCGATGCAGATTTATGTTCCACAGACTGAAGAAGTATTGTTTCTGCAGAAGACACGGACATAAGCTTGCCAGGCTCTGGAACAAGGGCGCTGCCCCATGGCCCAAGAAGCTCCCTTTACTCATGTTTATTCCTAGGGCTGGGCAGCATCCATGGAGGCGCTTGGACTGAGTTTCTTAAGAAACAGACTCACTTCGCCTCGCTTTTGCTCCTCATTCAACTTGACTGATGCTTCATCGGCTGTTTCTGCGGCCTCTGCTCTTGCAATGCTGAGCCCCACACCGCTCAGCAAGGATGCAACAACTCAGCCTCAGAGCACTTGGGAAACTGGGGGCGGGGGGGGGGGGGGCGGGCTTATGATTATAAGTACTATTATTATCATTATCATTATTAGTATTATTCGTGTTATCATTATTGTTACTACTATCAAATATTTATTATTTTTATTGTTATTAGTATTCGTATCATTAGAGAATGAGGGGAGGGGAGGGGAGCTACTCAGTGCTATGAAAATTCTCACATTCTCGCCCACTCCAAGGCCTCCAATCCCTGGAGAGCTGTGAGAGGCCGAAGTGAAGTTTTGTTACCGCTCCAAGCCAGGCCAAATCTGTATCCTCAGCTGCGGAATACATGCTTTTACATGATGTAACATTTAAGCCGCATCTCCTCCTCTGCTGTTACTGTTGTTGGCCTGAGCTAACGCCTCAAGATGCGGGTATCACGGAAGGAGCCGCCCATGCTTCCCACAGAGCTTCGCATAAGACATGCTTGTGGCAAGAACCTTTAGACATCCCGCTGCTTCTCAGACCAGGCAGCCCTCCATCTCCGATCTTCAGCGCCTTGTGATGCTTATAGTACCTTAGGTTTGTCCCAGAAGCTACGCAGCGCTCACGCTACAAGGCCCCTTTCTTCTCCTTCTTGTTGCTTCATCGCTCTCGATGTGACTTTCCTTCTCTTGCCACCTGTTCACGGTTCTTCCCAGGCCCATTCCGTGTGTAGGCCTTCGCGCTCCCTTAAAGAATTTCGTTGCCTTCATGGCGCCTTGCGCCATCTCCGTGTTGCAGCTTCCAAGACGGGCCAGATCCCTTCCTGGCCTTCAATTGGTGATTGACCGCTTTCGTCTGGTCAAAACCTGTCCCTAGGCAGCATGCTCTCTCTGTCTCTCGCTCTCTCTCGCTCTCTTCTTCCTCTTCTGCTGGGCATGAGCGGGCCCCGATGGAGCCCCGACACGCACAAGTGCGCCCTGATCCGGTTCTGTCGTGAGACTGCAACCAGAGGCTCGGTGTCGTGTTCCCCCGACCATTTTCATAAACATATAAAAAAGAATTACCCCGAAAACAGTCTACAATTGCAGGCCCTCTCTCTGTCTCTCTGTCTGTCTGTCTCTCTGTCTCTCTGTCACTCTGTCACTCTGTCACTGTGTCTCTCTGTCTCTCTGTCTCTCTGTCTCTCACTCTCTCTCTCTCTCTCTCTCTCTGTCTCTCACTCTCTCTGTCTCTCTGTGAGTCTCTGGGTTGCAGTGAAATCCCGCAACTGCGGGAAGAAAGGGCACAAGAACCCACGTGCCGTTGGGAGACGTGCCAGATGGTTTGCCATCACTTTCTGTGCGACGGCCGTAGTTTTGGAGCAGCATCTTATCTTCATTGTGGAGGGTGACCTCAGGTCAGCTCGACTTAAAGCAACCAATGGCAACCAGGTGCTGCCACTTGTAGAAGCGTTGGCCTGAACACGTATCTGCACACAGCCACAAATCCATAGTCCGCTTCTTCAACCTTTAACCACTGTAAGCAGCGTACAGTAGCCACTGCAACCGTTCAGACCATCGTTAACTGCAATGTCTGGCTGCGGGATCCAGGTGTAGCGTATTGCCCACACGCACGCGGCGTCCCGGAAGAATGTCCTGGAAAGCTTCTCGTCTCACACATACCTTACTACGTTCCAGAGACACCCGCCCAGAGTGTCCATTATGCAGCCACAGCTGCGATTTAAAAATGCTGTCGACACAGGGATCACGCAATAGCAGTCTCCAATTATCCTGTACTGTCCTGGCTTTCAGTTCATGTCACACACACGCTTACAACTTCTTAAACAATGCATGCATGAAGGGGTTAGCGGATGATTGGCGGGTTCAGGCCACCAACTCGACGAATTTTGCTTGTCATGGCTAGCAGTTTGTCTGTCGTACCCAACGGCCCCAGGAGCCTGAATTTCATGCACTTGTCCATGGAGGACCACGTATTTGAAGTCCTCTGCCTGCTCGCAAGCATAAGACGACTCTTGCAGCAAGTTGCACACCCTTGCGTTGAGTGCGGTAACCTTTTGCCATTCACTTGTGCATGGCATGCACCGGACCTTCCAGTTGCTCAGAGCATAGCTGGCACAGTACTTCTGGTAGCACTGTGCCCACACTTCCTTACATGTTGACGATGCACACTCGAACAGAGTCTCTAGTGATTCCTGGAAACTCGTTTGTCAGCAATGCTGGCATGGCATGCAGGGCTGATGTGCATCCGTGGCTGCACGTGCAACGTTTAGTTGCCTGAGCATCAGCGGAGGCTCCTCGTAGTATACACCCTTGTTGTTGAAGTACTGGATGATCTCGTCAACAGGTGTGTCCGCGCGTATGTCGAACGTCTTCCCTTCAGCGACGAGCTCAACCAGAATCTTCCGAACCTTTGCCCAGCTTTGTTCTCTGTGACTTTAACATGGGCCTGCAATGGCCTGCCCCAGTCCTTTGCTGTGCACTGCCTGAGAGCCCAGCGTACTCCAGAGGAAACCACCTGCCTCTCTGGGCATGGAGTCCGTCCAGAAGCTTCCTTGGATTCTTAAGTTATATTGAACTGTTGCCAAGGCAGAAGCCCAACGGCATGGCCGTAGAGAGCTATGCACGGACGTGCGGGGCTCCTACGCTGGCTGATGCCACTGTGCAGTGCACTAAAGACGGTTCAACACCATCGGCTCCAGCAGAACTTTGGCGTGTCGGACTCATCTCACAAACGTCGGGTGTGTATTGACTAAGCTTGCTTTTCGGCTCAGCTTCGAGTGGTGGAAGGGCATCAGAGGCAGCACAATCCACTGTAGATGCAACCTGACGAGGAGCCACTCTTGCATTGCACACAAACTGGCCTGGGCCAAGTGTTTTTGTCCCTGCTCATGACAATTCACCGCATCTCTACACTTAAGGGCCACCACACTCTGGGAGCAAGAGAAAACAGCGGGCGCTCGTCGGAGCAAGCTTCCGAATGTACGCTCTTCGCAGATTGAGAAGAGTTGTGGCTGAGGTGCTGGAATTGCGATGGTGGCGAGTTGAAACCACCTTGGCGCAAGGTGCAAGGTCTGCAAGAGGTACAAGAACAGCCTCTCGAGTTGGAAGGTTTCGAGGCAAGCGCCCCAAAAAATGAATAATTCGGGTTTCCATATGATACGACCAGTGTCATGATTGCAGATGCCACACAACATGGAGGAGACAACTGTGTTTCCACGACATCACACGTGTTGATCAGCCAGAACAACAAACTTTGCAGACCCAGATGCAAATGATGTTGTCTCTCACCATCTCTTTGGTAACATCTTCTCCTTGGCTACGTGAGTTTTGACTTCGCAGCCACTTGCGGGAAAGACCTGGCTTCACCGGCTGTCTAGCAGCCTGACGAACATGGCAGCTCAACTGGCTTCTGCCGTATTGCTTGATGACATTGAAGATCGGGTTCCACATGCTACAATGACAACAGTAACATGGTTTGGTTTCACCCTACTGCTATCCTTAAAAATAAGTTTCCGGCC